TTAAAACACATGAACAGAACTATCTGACGCACGACTTGGAATTAGCTGCAGTTGTTCATGCCCTTAAGATTTGGCGACACTATCTATACGGCGGTCAATGCGAAATATTTACTGATCATAAGAGCTTGCAGTATATCTTTACTCAAAAGGAGCTCAACATGAGGCAACGCCATTGGTTAGAGCTCGTCAAGGATTACGATTGTACGATCCAGTATCATCCGGGAAAGGCAAATGTTGTTGCTGATGCCCTAAGCCGCAAGGTGAAGGGTGACTTGACATATGTTGTTACTCAGCAGAGTCAGTTGATTCATGAGTTCGCCCGGATGAAGATCCAGCTGGTTGATGCACTTCCTACAGCCAGTTTGGGAAGTGTGAATTCTATGCAGGTTCAGCCGACGCTGAGGGAGAGAATCCGGCAAGAGCAGGCTTCAGATGAGTTCGTTCGTACGATTAATGCCAAGGTTCGTGCCGGAGGCGTCGAGGATTTTCACCGAGGCACTGATGGGGCCTTGGAGTTCCGTGGCAGGATTGTGGTGCCTAAAGTCGAAGCATTGAGGAAGGAGATTTTATCTGAGGCCCATACTGCACCCTATCTAGCCCATCCAGGAAGTACAAAGATGTAGCATGACCTGAAAGGGTCGTTTTGGTGGAAAGGATTGAAGAAAGACGTTGCCGACTTTGTAAGAAGATGTTTAACCTGTCAGCAAGTCAAGGCCGAGCATAAGAGTCCCATAGGCCTTCTACGACCACTGCCGATTCCGAGGTGGAAGTGGGAGGAGGTTGCGATGGATTTTGTCACAGGGTTACCGAAGTCGTCTAAACATCACGACGCTATCTGGGTCGTGGTCGACAGATTGACTAAGGTCGCTCACTTTTTGCCAGTATCGATGAGTATGTCTTTGGATCGGTTGGCTGAGATCTATGTCCGTGGGATCGTTCGACTCCATGGAGTACATGTTACTGTTGTGTCAGACAGAGACCCCAGATTCACCAGTAGATTCTGGAAGAGTTTACACGAGGCAATGGGTACGAAGATAGCTTTCAGTTCAGCCTACCATCCCGAGACTGACGGACAGACAGAGCGGACTATACAGACGTTAGAGGATATGTTACGTGCTTTGACTGTTGACAGGGATGCTAAATGGGAGTCGTTGTTGCCGTTCGTAGAGTTCGCGTACAACAACAGTTATCATTCTTCTATTCAGATGGCTCTTTATGAAGCACTATACGGTCGCAAATGTCATTCCCCTCTTTACTGGGACGACGTCGGAGAACGTCGAGTACTCGGTCCGAAGCTGATCGAGGAGACAGCCGAGCAAGTCGAGTTGATCCGGCAGAGACTCAGAACAGCTCAGAGCAGAATTAAATCAACCGCCTATCATCATCGACGAGACATTCAGTTCGAGGCTGGCGAGCACGCTTTTCTCAGAGTTAGTCCATTTCGCGGAGTTATTCGATTCGGGAAGAGAGGGAAGTTGCACCCTCGGTTCATTGGCCCGTTCGAAGTACTCGAGCGAGTGGGCGATGTTGCGTATCGTTTAGCCTTACCTCCCGAGCTATCCAGTGTTCACAATGTCTTTCATGTATCTATGTTACGCAAGTACGTGTGTGACCCCGATCATGTCATTCCTCATACTGATATTGAAATTCATCCAGACTTATCTTACGAAGAGCGACCGGTAGCTGTCTTGGACCGACAGGTTCGACGGCTTCGGAAGCGTAATGTTCCCCTCGTTCGTATCCAGTGGGATCGCCACGGAGCCACTTGGGAGCAGGAGG